AGTTGGTATAGTTTTCCTATGCCTTTACATGTCACTGACCTTTCCTGTACATTCCTTAGCGTTTGCTGTCCTATCCGTTCCTTTCCTGTACTTGCCTTGCGTTTCCTTTCCTTTCAGTTTCCTTTCCTTTCCTTTGCTTTCCTTTGCCTTCGCTTCCCTTCCGTTCCCTTTCCCTTCCCTTCCCTTCCCTTCCTTACTTTCCTTCCCCCTTCCTTCCCCCTTCCTTCCCCCTTCCTTTCCCCTTCCTTCCTTCCTTCCTTCCTTCCTTCCTTCCTTCCTTCCTCCCTTCCTCCCTTCCTCCCTCCCTTCCTCCCTTCCTTCCTCCCTCTCTCCCTTCTTTCCTTCCTTCCTTCCTTCCTTCCTTCCTTCCTTCCTTCCTTCCTTCCATTTAAGGTGAACAAGTTTCATGTATGGCATATATACAGATTTAGGAACATAGCGATACTCCTCACCTCTTGCCCATGCTCCTACTCTTCCTCCTCCTTCCTCTCTTATTCCCTCTCTTAGTTTTTACAATGATCTACTTTCAGTTTACTTTATATTCATACAATCAACACTACACTAAGTGAAGAGTGCAACACACAGTAAGAAAAAACACTGTTCCTCAACAGTAGAGACAGGCTATAAACAATCATCTTTTCTTAAAATGTCGATTTCACTCTAATATATTACATTTTAGATACTCTATTGGTTACCACAGATCAGTGAAAACATATGGTATTTGTCTTTTGGGGACTGGATTATTTCACTAAGTATAATGGTTTCCAGTTGCATTGTTTTGTTGCAAAAGACAGGGTTTCATTCTTTTCTTATGGTTGATTATATATCCATCTTTCTTTATATCTATCTATACCACGATTTCTTTATCCAGTCATCAGTTGATGGACATCTGGTTTGATTCTGTACCTTAGCCATTGTGAATTGAGCTGCAATAAACATGGGGGGAAACTGAGGCTCGAGATACATGGGAAAAGCTTAACCCAAAGTCATTTTTCTAAAACAAATAACATACTGATGGCTAGTCAAAAGAAGTGAAGCTTAAGTGATCCCTTTCAGTATTAAACATATGCTTGTACTCTCTGCCTCTACTATGGCAGTCATGCTGGTTCTCTTCATTGTGGGGAGAAGGTTGTGGGGAAGGCCTAAATGAATGGATCAATGGGCATGTAAGGAACATTAGGTAGAGGATATTAAAAAGAAAGTATCTCTCTGATTGCTGGCTGTCTCAGGAATCAAGTCCCTACAGGAAAAAGAAGGTTTATCTGCTGTGAATGAAAAATGGGACCTGGATCTTGGCTCTGTCTCAGGAGTGAGTCATTAGGCCACCTTTTCCACTTCATCTCACCAGGTATGTAGTGAATGATAGCCTACTCAGAAGTTGAAATGGTAATGTGCTGTAAATTCTTGATATGTTATATTCCATGTCAAACTCATATTTGCCACAGTGTTTTTTCCCTGCCTGTTATTTATATGGGCAGTGGAAATAGAGTGGATTATGTATGAGACACTTTAACGAAAGACCTCTGAATGCAACTATATGGATTATCTACATAGAAGCAATTGATTTTCTTATTACTTGATAAAATGATACAATATACATAAGACCTGATGTGCTTATTCCTTACTTTTTCTTGAAATGATACTTTAGAACAGAGATGTAGTATGTGTTCATGTGCAAGTCTATAGATTTCAAGAGAGCAAAACTAAATCCAATTCACTAAAATTCCAGTGACATAGCAATGCAGCTACTATGTTAGGTGACTGGATATTGATCTTAAGTAATTTTATGATTTATTTCTCAGAAAGTGAGATTGTTTCCTTGAGATATAGGCCTGAGAACAGTGAATATCTCTCCATAAGAGACAAAGATCTGTATCTTCCACCTTGAATGCCGACTCCAGTCTTCTTGGTACTTAATTCATTTTTCTTAAGCATAAGGAGTAACCACAAGTGGGAGACATTAGGCACTGACAAAAATACAAAGGAATGTGTTTCTTTTTATACTTGTTCCCTGTTGTATGCTTCTTAAAGTGTAACTGGGACAATATGCATTTGAGAAGCACTGTGGTCTGCTGGAAATTATCGTGAGGCTAAAAGAAATCAGCCATAGCTATATGCATAAGAAGCTGAGTGCGTTGAAGTACTATGCTCAGTTCTTGTCCTTGGTTTCTTACCTAATCCTACAAAAGCCCTGAGGTTAGCTACTTACATTATCTTCATTTTGTGGTGGAATTTTTTAAAGATTTTATTTGAGAGGTTGAGTTACAGATATTGAGAGGGAGAGACAGAGAGAAAGGTCTTCCTTCCGTTGGTTCACTCCCCAAATGGCTGCAACAGCTGGAGTTGTGCCAATCCAAAGCCAGGAGCCAGGTGCTTCTTCCCCATCTCCCATGTGGGTGCAAGGGTCCAAGCACTTGGGCCATCTTCCACTGCTTTCCCAGGCCATAGCAGAGAGCTGGATTGGAAGTGGAGCAGCTGGGACTAGAACTGGTGCCCATATTAGATGTGGGCGCCGGTCTTTGTGGTGGAAATTAGTGATTTCCAGAACCTAAAGCTGCCTGAGAAGACAGAATTATGTGACATAATTAAGAAAGATGGAATGACACACTGGCTCTTTTAGAGCCTGCAGCCTGGAAAGGGGAAAGGGCTGAGACTGTGGCGTTGTGAAGAACTGCTCTTAAAGGGTGAGGACAAGGGGCTCTGGACCACAGCTGTGAGGGGCATGGTGTGTTCAAGGGAGGGTCTCCTGCCCTCATCCTCTGGTCTGGCCCCACTAAAAAGCACTTTGTTGTACGTAATGCAGAAATATTGCCCTGTAGCAAAGGTGAGACTTCTGTGATGGGGACAGGTCCTTATATTCCATTCTTTTTCAGAATTCTAGAGTTTGCTGCTCATGAAGGCTTTGCATTTTCTGCCTCATTTGTGACCTCCTTACCCCATGAAAATTTTGGTAGAAAATGTGACTCTTGGCTGTGATGCGTGTATTGTCTCCAGATATTGGAAAGAGGGAAGTGTCTGAGAGGTAGGTGCTGTTGTTTCTGGGTACCAGTGACTTGTGGGTGAGATGAAATAATGATCTTAGAATGTGGCAGAGGAAGTGTGATAAAAATAATAGTCTACTTATCTCCATATTGCTATCTCAATCCCTTTTACTGTCTCAAAACTAACTTATATAGATTATGGACACTGTGAATAATATTTATCTCATAGTTTCTCTGTATAGATAGAGATCTCCTCCCCATAGATTCTGAATTATTTGGTGTGAAGTAGGGTCAGAGCATGCATGTGTTTACCAAACACCCAGGTGTTCACCATACACCAACTCAATGGGAATTACTGGTGGACATAGAGTGACTTGCAGCTGAGAGCCAGAGGGAGGTACTAAGCAGGTTTTTGGTATGATAGTTATACATAATCATTTCTATCATATACCTCCACAGGTGTGCATTACTAGTATTGTGGAAGAAATGGGGTGATAGATGATGCAATCTTTTCCATCTTGGATTCTCTGAAACTTCCTGATGGATACATTCCTCAAATCCATGATGTTGTGAATGCTGTCATAGTGGAGACCATTCATTCAGGATATGTTTGGAGAGCAGTGTCTATCAGCCCTGTGGCAACAGTGTAAAAACACAACCTGTTTATTCTCTGTGCATCCTTTCTTCCATGGGTAGTACAGGGTCCTATGCAAATGTGTTTGGAAAAAAAAATAAATTAGTAAACCTTAGTAACAATTTCTTATACAGTTTTTCAAATCCTGAATATGTTGGATAAGTGAATTGTATGTTTTGAAAATGTTCGTCATTTTTCATCATTAATTAAAGGTATTTTTCTCTATTCATGTGTAATTACTTTCACTGCTGCTTCTTTGTGTTAGAGGCATTTACATTTTAATTAATTTACATGGTATTACCCTTCTCTTGACCCCTATTTTATACATACATCAATGGAGATTTCACTATTCTCAGTTTGCTCTGTGGTTCAGTGGGCCTCCCCTAGCCCTTCAGTGCTGAGTTCCCTACATCAAGTGTGAAGTTGGAGTCTTTGCCTTTAGACTTGACACTCCCTCTTTGGTTTACCCCACAAAAAATGATTGCTTTCCGTGTTCCAGCTTGGGGGTTTCAGTCTTCAGCACAAGGACACAATACCTGCCCTCATGAAAATGCCTTCTGTTAAGTCTCCTTGATTTCCTGACTCAGGGTGCAGTAGCTCCCGAGACAAAAAGGGGCAAGTCGGGGCTGTGGCTTCTCAGTCCCCTGTGGAAGTTGTCATTCTAAAGCAGCCCCAGGCCTGGCAGAGTCAGCCACCATTCGATATGAGAATTGTATAAGCATTGGATTTTACTCCTCCCTGTTGAATTCTCTAATTTGGCTGATGTGGGAGGGGCTTCTGTGAGAGCAGGAAATGGATTGTGCCAAGTGTAGTCAGCCATTGTGCCACAAGCATCCTCCCTGTACTGGGTGAGTCCCTTCAGCACATGGCCTGTAGTAGGTTAGGGGGTAATCAATTTCATTCATGCTTTTACTCAGAAAATTAAGCATCCATTTGTTTTCACAGGGCAGGTGATCTGTGGTGCTCTTTGAACATTTTGATTCCAGGTATGTGTTAATTCCAAGGCTCTTTGCTATAATTTGGAAGACAGGATTGTTGATCAATTCACCCATGCTTGACAGGAAATAGAGGGCTATGTTAGCAACATGTTTTGCACAGATGTGAAGGAAAGAACATGAAGGGAGTTGCCTGCCAGAAATTCTGGGTCTGCAGTGTTCTGATCTGGAGCTTCCCAAAGGCACATAGTGAAGGGATTGCACATGTGTTGTTATTAGATGACCCACAGCTCAGGGTTGGACATGAGCCCTGAGAAAGGAAAAAAGATGCTAATCTTGAGCAGGACATCCAAACTATGGCCCTGGGGCTGAGTCTGGCCTCCTGCCTATTTGGTTGCAAACTTGTTATTGAGACGTAATTCACACAACATGCAATTCACTCAACTAAAGGGTACATGCATGACACTGAGCAGTAAATTGTCAATAGTCAGAGGAAATGTACTAACATGTAGAAAAATATATTTTAAAAAATGATTGTTGTAAGCCTAAGGAGTGCTTGCATAGATCTGTCAATTGTAAATTGTGAAAATATCCAATGGATAGTAATAATTGCTTTATATTTCTAGAGTACTCTAAAATGTGCCTCAGGTTGTTAGGGAAAAAAGCCATTAAACACTGACTAAAGGAAGCTGAAAAAATATTCTCAAGTGAAAGCCTTTACATTAGCAACGAGTTCACCAGTCTGCAAGGGTTTACCTGGAGTTCTCTCTTTAGATGAGAGGGATGTGGACATTTCTAATACTTATGGGATAATAACTATCTTTCATGTAAACACTATTTTTTAAAGATTTATTTATTTATTTATTTACCCACTATGCCAAAGCCCTAGCCCCTATACACACTATTATACTTACTATGATTGTGTTTATGTACACAATATAAATAACACCACCAACAAAGTAGAGGTTGATTTTTCTTTTGCATAATGAGTTGGGCTGCTCAGGCCTTCTACAGTGTGGTTTAGGAATACTGAAAGAGCAAGATCCCTGGTTCTTGTGCTTCACAATCCTGTGTGTTGGTTTATCTCCTAAGAGTCAGGATCTGCTGGAACAACAGGGAAAGTAAGCATGTCAATTGTTTCCAAGAAATCAAGATATAAGGAAAATCAGTGGTTTCTGCCTTCAATGGTCAGATCTATGCCATATGACACATCTGACTACAGAAGTGGCTGGAAAGATCAAAAACAATTTCTCCATTTTTATAGAAGATGCCAGAAGGGGAGAAGGTGTTTGGACTTGGTTAACCTTTGGTACATAGCACAGAATTTGCAAGTTCAAAGTGTTGTAGTCATGGCTGTTTAAGTGCCATGTTCCCAGGCCCAGTTATATAGAAGTGTGTATTACCTCATATTGAATGATTTCTGACTCTGTGGAAAACCTCACATAGGCTAATGGCATGGTGTGTGTATGTGTGTGTGTGTACAATTTCATGTAATTTAATTATTCAAATACTTCTCTTTTCACTAAATTGCTATGATACTTTTCAAAATTTTGGGTAAGATAAAATTATTATATAATATTCCAGTATATAATTATATACAATAATATCAAACACTTTATGAACTGTCTTCATTTCACTTTTCTTACTTACTAAAAACCTACAGTGCTCTCCAAATAGTTAATTGTTAACTAGACAAGAGAAAGCATCTCTAAGAAAATGGTTTTCTTTATTTTAAATGGTAGATAAATTATTCAGATTACTTAAAATTATGCAAGTGTTGTCATCAGTAAACACAATTGGGCTAATTTCAATATGGAGAGATTTTATTTATGGAGAGATTTTATTTAATACTGAACTCCTATATTTGTCCATGGCAATAGCTGAGTTGAATTGTCATCTAAATTCATTTCCTAAATCTAAATTGTGCTTGTTTAAAACAAAATAAATTTAATTAAGATTCTATAAAATTCCTATTTGTAGAATACTACCAAGAGGTAGTTATGTAGGAAAATACCTTTACCCATTCATTTAACATCATGTTTACTTCTTGTTAAGAGCTAGGGAGAGCCAGAAATATTTTTCAAGTTTATTTATTTGAAAAGGAGGGAGGGAGAGAGAGAGAGAGAGAGAGAGAGAGAGAGAGCAAGACATGAAGAAAGAAGGAAAGAAAGAGAGAAGTATCTTCCACCCAGTGGTTCATTCCCCAAATGCCTGCAACTCCTGGGGCTGGTCCAGGCTGAAGCCAGGAAATTAGGACTCGATCTGGGTCTCCCACATTCATAGCAGTTACTCATTCACTGGAATTATCATCTGCTCCTTCCCAGGATCACATTAGCAGGAAGCTGGATCAGAAGTGGATTAGATAGGACTTTGATCAGGCACTTTGATGTGAGATGTGGACATCCTGATTGACAGTGTTGCTTCGCTAGCACACGTGCCCCTTAAAAGCATTTTGAATGTAAATTCTTAACTGAAAGCCAAAGAGATCTTATGCTGTAGTGAGGAAGAGGAGCTATCCACACAGGTAACTTAATACCAGCAGGGATATCCTCAGAGTCCCTCATTCCCTAGGCTGCTACCTTAGGCATGGAGCTATGGTTTTCCTCTCTCCTGGAAATTTTGGAAAACCTGTTAAGCTTTACATTTGATCTTCAACAAGGCTGCTGCTGCTGTTCTCAAAACAGAAATCTGATTGTGGCATCCTTGTGCTTTAAAATAGAACCACCATAAAGCTACCATCACCTCTAAGTGTTTCCTTACTGTCTTCAGAACCAAATGAGATCTCCTTGTCTCTGAACAATCTTTCAGCAAAGCTAGGGAAATGGCCCAGCTACTCAAAAAGGAGATGATCCAGAAAAGTAAAGTACAGCAGGTGATTGCTCAAGTACCGTCATGGTGATAAATTTGCTTAGCTTTTGTTTGTGTGGTAATGTCTTTTTTTCACCTACATATCTGAAGGATAGTTCTGCTGGGTACAGTATTATTGCCTGGCAGTTTTTTCCTTCAGTGCTATGAAAGTTTCATCTTTGTTGTATAAGATTAATTGTAGCCTCCAGCATGTGTATGCATTGCAAAATCATTCCTTGGCCATTTACTAGTCCGGTGTTGGGTTTCAAGTCTGTGGGATCATAGATGCATTCCTGGGATCATTCCAGGTATGTTGGGGGCACAGTGTTGCTTGAATTGAATCAAGTCTACATTATAAATGAATGTAATTCATCAAGGGATTTGCTGTAGGGTTATCTCTGGCATTTCCTCAATAATTTATGGAGTCTGACTTTTCATGTCCAATACAGTGCAGAACGGCTGCCTTACTTGGCTATGCATTGCCTTCTAGCAAATGCTGAATTTCCTGAGCACGCTTACTTTCTTTCTGAAGTCAACATTCTCCTTTCCTTCCAAGTATCCCATGGGCATTAAGAACAGAGAAAAAGCCACACACTTGGAATTGATATGAATATTGACTCTCTTATTTTTTCCAATGTCTAGGGAACAGGTCAGGCTAATGAGTTCAGCCTTTTCAACCAAAGTGCCTGGTGGCAATGCTTATGCTTTCAACTCCTGGCAAGTTACTCTGTATATCCAGTCTTCCAGTTTCCCTGGTCTATGAAGCTGTTTCCACCTATGCAGAGTTCCATTTCATGTCTAGAGTTTGTTAGAAGATATCAGTCAGCTCTGGCCTGCTCTAATACAGTTGTTCAACAATCTGCAAACAATCATGCATAGGTTCTTCAGAGGGCTCAGGGAACAAGGTAACCAGATTTCTTGATGCTTTCCCAAGAGACCAGAAATGTGTCAGTAACATCCCTCTGTTCCAGAAGTAGCAGCAGACAGTAGGCTGTATGCATGGTGATGGGCTACCCAAGAGTGAATTTCTCTACTTCCTGAACTTGGACTTTCCTTTCTTTCTCCAAGTTAAGCAAGTTTTTTGTAATTATTTCACTAAGTAGGCCTTCTATCATTTCTCTTTTTCCACTCCTTCAGGCACTCCTAAGACCTGTATGTTAGGCTGTTTGATAGTATCGCAGATATCTCTAATATTGTTTTTAAGTTTTCTAATTTCTTCTTGTTTTTGGTCTGGCTGTAAAACTTCCAGGGATCTGTCTTCTAGCTCAGATACTCTTTCTTCTGCCTCACCAACTCTGTTGGTAAGGCTTTCCACTGCATTTTTTTTTTTACTTGATCTATTGAATTCTTAATTTCTAGTAATTCATTTTGATTTCTCTTTAAAATCTCAATTTCATGGGAAAATTTTTCGTTCATAT